ACCGGTTAGGACTTTTCCATAGGGAGGGCACCCAGCCTCTCACTAGGCTCTGTCCTCCCCACACCCTATGGAGAGCTCCTGCTCACACCCAGGAGAGAAACGGGAGACCCTCCCACGCCCACCGCTCAGCAGCTCCCCAGGGACACCCAAACCCACGGCCTACCTGTTTTGGGGTCTACGTCGGCTGGTAAATGTGGCGGTGGGTTTCCTGGGGTGAAGTGTTCATTGCTGTACGTGATAAGAGGCGTGAGGGGGTGTACATGGTGAGGGTGCTGCACAACCGGCACTTTGTTCGACTGTTGGGAAAACAGAGAAGGCCGCCATCAGGTCTGGACTCTCCCAGGTGCATTCAATGTCCCGCACCCCCTCCTTTAGAACGGACAAGCGGCTTCCACCACGTGGTCCTCCCCGGTGAACCTGGCTTTGACCAGGCCTTCCACAATGCCAACCCATCATAGTATCCAGGAGGTGGCATGGTTCCCATCTCTGGCTACGTCAGAAGCTGGGCACTGACTCCAGTCTCCCAAGCCTATTGGGTTCCTGTGTGGTGGGACCTCCTGCCCCAGGGGCACCAGCCAGACCTCAAGGGAATGGGGTGACTGGTTAAGCCCTCATTTATAGGAAACCTGGTGTCGGGCCCATAGCCAATCTGCGCCTGCTTGTCCAAGGCCTGCCACCCCTAGCTGCCCACTCCTCAGAAAAGCAGGAATGCTCAGACTTGTGGCTTTTCATCTCTCCCTCTGCCCCCCACCCCCGCCCCCACCCCCGGAGCTGTGGGGCTCGGAGCGAGAACTTTACCAGAAAGTGCAACACAGGCCGGCTGGGCAGGCACCTGTATGCTTCATGCAGATTACAGCGGGCGGAATCATTAGGAATTTCATTAGGAAGTCATGGGGGACTGCCAATAAATTAGCTGAACGATGATGAATTGGGCTAATAAAAGGTATACATTTGAGAAATGGGTAGTTCTACAAAACCAAGAGCAGGCGCTTTTATGTTGGGGAGGGGGGCAGGGGGAGAGAAGCAAGGGCGGCGGGGTGGGGGTGGGCAATGGAAGCAGGGAAGGGAGCACATTTTCATATTTTTCTAGGAGTCATGACCAGGCCCAGTTATATGGTTCTCCTCGCTTTCCCGCAACCCACTCGTGGCCCCCCTCCACGCTGCAACTTAGCCCAGCAAGATCACAAAGAAGAAATTAAGCTGAAAGAAGTGAACTACTGGGCCACTTACTGCGAGTAATCCAATTGCAGAAAAACCTATTCCCAATAGAGGATTTTCACTAAAATCCTACAACAGGGACATTTAACCAGATTAGGTACCAGAGAAGATAAAGAGGCGAGGATTTGATGATGAATGGATTAGAGTCAAGTTTCATTTTAGAACGCGTCTTCATTTCCTTTTACTACTTTTGGGAAGGCACACTTGCATTAACATCAAGGGGAAGGAATTGCATTAGGAGAAAAGCAGCACACTGGCAGTGCTGCCCACTAGCACCTCCCGAGCTTAGGGACCACTGAGTCGGGATCTTCATTGGATTTCTTCTTGCCTTTTTTTTGGTTCCTTTCCTAAAGGGGAAGGCATGGGTCCAGTACAGGACGAGCGTGTCTTTCCACGTGAAGTGTGGTGGTGGCATCGTTAAGAGGGGCCTTTTCACGTTGCTCCTGGGTAGGCTTGCAAAGAAAAATACGCCCTGACTCGATGTTACAGGAAACAAAAAGCTACAAAAATAGAGGAGCACCCTTCCAGCAGCAAGGTCTGTAACTCTGGGAGAATGAGACCCGTTAGTTCAGCGGTTCTCAACCTGTGGGTGGTGACCCCTTGGAGGTGGGGGGTGGGGGTTCTGAAAGACCCTTTTCACAGGGGTCGCCCGATTTTTAACAGGAGCAAAATGACAGTGATGAAGTAGCAACGAAAATAATTTTATGGTTGGGGGGTCACCACCACATGAGGAACTGTATGAAAGGGTTGGCACATGAGGAAGGTTGAGAACCGCTGAGTCAGTTGGAACCAACTTGACGGCAACCAACCATGGCACTGGCTCACCTACCACCCGGGCTCCGTTGGGTGTGGTGGAGTCCACTGTCCACTCGCAGAGCCCTCACGTGCCACGGGAGAACCCCCGGAGGCAGGCTTGATGGGTACAGATCACCAGGTCTTTGTTCCGTGGAGCGGTTCCTGGGTTTGAGCTGCTGAACCTTTTGGCCAGCAGACAGGCACTCAAAGGTGGTGCCGCCAAGGCTCCTTGTAGCATCGTCGTATTTAAAAGCTGCCGAAGCTGAGCAGGGCTTCAGGAGCCAGTGACACTCCCTGGGCGGGCAACCATCAAGGGCTGGCCAAGGCCAGGGACAACCGAGAGGAGAGCCATTTGAGAATGAAGAAGCAGGTCCTCATGTCTGCCAGGAAGGAGAAAGGACAGGGACAGAGATCGAAAGAGAGACACACCCAGTGGAGTCAAGAGTAGTCGGAAAAAGCAACTAGGATCGCCACTGCCCTCCAGAAACTTCCATTTGGTGGGGAAGCTTCCCCACCCGTGTTGACATGAAATGAAGCAAACCAGCCCTGCGCAGTTGTGAAAGAAGCATGGCATCAAGGAACAAGAAATCATGTCACTGTAAAGGTGGGTGAGTGCAGAGCGGAGACTCAGAGTCCATCCGTATGGCAACTGAACACCCCCTTGCTGGGGGGTTGTGGGGAGGAGACGAGCCAATCAGGGTGCAGGGTAGCAACGATGAAACATATAACTTTCTTCTAGTTCTTAAATGCTTCCTCCCCCCCACTATCATGATCCC